AAGCTGCCTTAAATTTGCCACATTATCACGCACACAGTGAAGTAATAACTGCAAAGGATTGTTAAATACTTTCATTTGTCCCCAAATGGTCCATTTTTCACACTCCTTTAAACTGAAACAGCAAAGAATGCTAATTTTAAAAGCATGATTTGAGGCTGCCTGCACAAGGACATTTGGGACATTTGTCATGAAAACATTGAACCCAAACTCAGCCACAAAGGTTTTTCCAAAAAGATAAAATTTTAGCTTTTTCCCCACTAAAACAAAGTCTGATGCTTTCCATTGAAACATAGTCACAGTTTTAGACCTCACCGAGAATTAAAAGGTCTACAGACTAGAAATGATTCAACATTTGATGAAAACTAGGTTACATTTTTCACTACCAGCATGAATGATTGAGAATTGCAAAGTGATTCTATTTCTTAATTCTCTGGACAAAATCCTGCTATGTTGCTATGTGACCATTCAAATGATACATCTTTTGCAGCCCCTTCGTGCTGTACTATTATTTTGCTTTTCAACACATTAGCAAATAAATTTTCAATTCTTTTCAGATTTTGAATTTGGCTCCTTCTGGGAGTGAAAGGGTTAAAACAATTTAGTAGAATGCAGGTACACTATAGAGCAGAAACCTTCAAAAGTGAACTATGCATTCATTTCCATGGTGTGCATCAGCAACACACACAAAGTTCTTGTCAAGTTCAGTTCCACATCCATTTGCTCACAATGTTCATAAAAAAGGTATCAGTTGTACCTCGAATGGATTCCAGTCCAAAAGTTGAAGTCTAATAAATGGAGCAAACAGTTTAGGAAGACAAAGTGAAATATATGCATTCGTATAACAGTCTTCATGTTTGTTCTTCCATTCTTCAAATCTTGACTTTATAGAGTCGATTGAGCTGAAGTCCTCAATGACATCTTCAAAAATGGCCTTCTCTTCTGACGTTATTCTCTCTACAGAAAGGTAGAAGAAACAAAAGTGACAGATGATTATATTTGTAAAGGTAATAGCATGATTTGTAGTGATATTTGGCATAAATACCACAAGTGATATTTCAAAATTGTTATAGGTAATTTCATGAGCTGTTAGGCTGGTATTTACCCCAAATATCACATACAAATTATGCTATTATTTTGAAATATCACGAGTGGTATTTACGCCAAATATCACGTACAAATCATGCAATTATTTGTTTATATTACTACCCACAAAAGGTTTGTAGTGTTCACATATAGGTATTTCAAATTAAGCTGAAAAACCACTGTTCTAAGCCAATCAAATTGCAGAAATTTCTCATGTAGTAGTATACACTAAGAAAAATATGGTAAAGAACAGTAAAACTATAAAATCAACCAATAAAAATTATTAATTCAGCTTGAATTAACGTGCATGTAGCGACCAGTATCCAATTCACTTCTGCATCCCTACCTGTGCAATGAGCGGAGATTTTTGGCTACATGCTTCATGAATAACATTGCTTTGAAGACATATCAAATTCAAGAAAACTGAGCCGGTAGAAGATTCAAAACTACCTTGTGTGAGAAATCACTTTAAATACATAGATGAATCTGAAATTTACAACTACTAACAGATGCAATTTTTAGATAATTGATTCATTAATGGGATGTTGTGGGAATCTTGACCTAGCCTGAAAGTAGTAACACAAAAAATTACTTGTTTCTGCCCTGAATTTGACAGCATCTGTTTCAGTTTCTTCATCATCAGTAGACTGTCCTTCATGATGAGTATCAGGTTGGGATGTTTTCTTCTCTTTTTCTCTATGTTTTCTCCTACGTGCTCTTCTTCCTTCTCTCTCAGCAGCACGTCTCATCTTGTTCTGATCAGAAGGTTTAGATGAACTTTGACTTTGTCTTCCTGTTAGATGAGATAAAAAATGTAAAAAATACACCCTGAGGTCACATTCTGTTTGGCTCTTCCAGGGGAAAGACGAAGGGGAAAAAACTTACCAAGGGATAAGGTACAGGATTTCAAAGGGATGAAAGTGTCTGATATTTGACCAACTTTGATCTTATGAAGGAAACCAAAACTGGGATTTTAGGGAAAAGTTGACAACGGTCCCTTGTGACTTAATGTGACTTTCTCTTGTCTTTAGGTGACAAGGGATCTCTTCCCCATGCACAAGTTTGGAGACAAAGTTGTCCTTGTCTATTAAACCTGACAACATCACAAATTGGTACAATGGACATGGATCTGCACCCAAAGAACTTTCCTATCAGTTCAGGGGCGAATGGTTTAAGTAACATACAAACACAGTTACTCACCAGCTTGCGCGTTTAAGAAATCTTCTGCCTGATCATTGACGTCCAGTTGTCTTCTCTGCACCAGACTACAGGCTCGATTCTTTAACAATGCATGCATTGACCTCTCAAGCTCGTCAATTTCTGGAACCTGTGCAAGACGAGAAAGACGCATTAATCTGGATCCTCTTTGACTTTTAAAACCCTTTTGTTGTTGTGAGAGAGATATATAAGGAAATGGTGACAGCGTGTGGGAAAGTTACAATGTATCTTTCTTGTGGTTGGTTAATTGCTGGCAAATTTGTTTTGTGGGAGAATAAATCATAAATCAGTCAAAACAACAAAATAAAATCAGATCAACTTTGAAAAAGTTATTAAACCTTACATGTTCATGAATTGGAAAAGTAACACCAAAGTTTTCATGAAAAAAAAATATGGAAAGAAAAGAAATATGTGAAATAAGCTCCTCACTCATAGCAAAGACTGGTAAATGAAAGGTTTGACCCATTTTGAACAACAAAATATCCATGAAAGGACGGAAGGTGTAAGAAGTCAAGATCAAAGAGAGAAAAGCATTTGACAAGTCTCTTCTCATGATTCCATCTCTCATTCCATGCTTGTATCACCCACCTTGTTATTAAGGCATTCTATCAAGTCCCTGACATACCCCCTCATCTCTTGGAAGAAACTGAATCTCTGCTCAGCATTTCGCCCTTGGCGTTCAAGTTTTTTAATGCTTCCTTGTGCAGTTTCCAGCTGCTGTGTGACTTTTTCTTGTTCCATCTGATGTCCACGA